AAACAACAATTAAATATTAAAATATTACGAATCATAATTAAAGTATTCAAAATATTAAAGACAGTTTTTCCTTGAGCCGAAATAAAAACTGTAGTGGGGGGTAACTGTCACTAAAAAATTTTTTGTATGATCAGATGAAATGGCGATCATCCTGATTCGTCAGATCCAACTGCGGCAGTGGCGCGACTCACATGACCCGTAATTTTTATGGCCGCCCTGGTCGATTCGTCAAGTGATGGTGAAATGGTAAGAAATTCGTAAATGAAGTAATTTATATGGCAAATATTTGATACACAATTCACTATTAAAAAACAAAATCTCATCAAGTGATAATAAAATGCATAATCATATAATGGGTCATATTTTCTTCATACGTACTAAAGATATATTTGTTACTCATATAACAGCATATTAGGTTTCTTCGAATTTTTCTTCCGCTCAACGTGAAAATCTTAATTTCATGCACCTAACATAACTATGCCAGCCCCAACCTTATACGTATATGTGGATAAAAAGGTCCATAGTAATAAACTAAACCTAATAAAGTATGAGGACTTAAAACAAACGGCTGGAGATGATTATACTGTAATGAAATGGGATAGTAAACTAATAAAATTGAAAAGGCTAAAAAATATTAATAAATGTAATGATAAAGATTTTAAGAGATTAACGCTAGAGGTTGGTATTTTATTTAATAGTATATAGTCACGTGCGCAATCTTGATCCTACTTATCACATAATACTGTAATATTTATAGCTTAGCGTTAGCGATAAGAAATTTGAACATCCAAATGTGCTTAAAGTATTTGGCCTTACATTGGGTAGGTTCGCTATTTATAAAATAGTAGTAAACCGAGATTTAATTATTATTATGCTAATTTTTTTTTAATATACATAATAGACAAACATATTAATTGTTATTATTTCGTCCGCGAATTCGCTAATAATGGTGACTTGCGCCATTATCTTAGGCAAAAGTCTTCATCGAAATCTCCATTAAATTGGAATGATAAACTAGAATTAGCAAGCCAGGTGGTTAATGGTCTAAAATGTCTTCATGATCAGTCAATTGTCCATGCGGAATTGGTAATATTTCTCACATTGTATTTTACAAACTATCAAACGTTGTATCTCAATATTACTTTGCTTAAATTTTAATTACAGCATCCATGTAATATTTTTGTGCACGATGGTATTCCAAAATTAGCAAACATTGCAATTTCTAAAGTTCATACTCCTCATAATCTTCCTTTTACTCAATATACACCACCTGAAATATTATTAAGAAGAGATGTTTCTCATAATTTAATGAAGCTAAATATCTACAGTTTAGGAGTTCTAATGTGGGAAATCTGTAATGATGGTACCGCCCCTTTTTCTCGAAGACTACAATGTTTCTTTAGTGTTTGAAATAATTAGGGATGTTCGGGAGTCACCTAAAAATGGAACCCCGCAAGAATTCATTAACCTATATCAGAAATGCTGGGATCATAATCCTGGTATATGATAATTTTTATTTATTATTTTGATAATAAAATTTAAATTAATTAATCTAACATGCAATTATTACTATATAGATGTGCGGCCTCATTGTTCGGAAATTCTTGAAGAACTAAAAAAAATTATCCAGCAAAAAAATGTTTATATGTATGAAGACCATGAAATCGAAAATACAACTAAATCCCAAAATAATACTACCAAATTCGAACTGCATCTCAACTTTAATGATTGTGAATTGGATATTGGGTATATAGAAAAACAAGCAAAATTGCAAACCGAATTTATTAATAATTTTGGTTTAAATAAAGGAAGAACTTTAGATGGCTCTAATAATATTGCTTTTGGGACGAAAACGTTACTTGGTGATCATGGTGATTTAAGCGTATCCAAATTGAATCAAGAACCAACCATCATTATTCCAAGAGAAGAAGGGAATATTGCAGAAGAAGTTCCGCCAGAATATGATATCATAAGGTTACATTTTCCAACCGCATCTGTAAAATATAAAGGCGATGTGAAAGATCAGTTTATTAAAGAAATTAGTGATGCATTAGATTGCTCTGATGATAACGAAAAAAGGTAAGATTAAGGAAGACATTTGCTGAATGGGGTAGCTTTATAGCTTCTGATGTCATTATCGGTGGGGCTATAACGATAAAAAATTGGTCAAAAAATAGCTATGAAGACAATTCACGTTTAATGACATATATCCAATGGGGTATAGAGTACGCAAGAAGTGGAAAGTCACCGGTTTTCAGTGATGCGTTACTTACTGACTTTCCTCCATTTGAAGCCTCAAAAAAGGACATGAGAACTATTGGAGAATTGTATGAATGGTTAAACGATATATATAATTACAAATACGCTGAAATTATCTCATATGAAAATCTTAGACATTCCTATAGATTATTAGATGAAGATTTAGTTAAACGCGTATTCCAATGTTTAAATCATCTACCCCAAGATAGGCCAATCAAGAGAATCCCACAGATACCGAAACAATATGATCAACAAAAATTTTCCGAATGGATAAGAATACCACAGCCTCCATTATTGTTATACGTGCGTGATTGGATATATGAACTGTCTCTGAGACATGGTATACTACTGAAACGCGCACATTTAGGGCATAGCGAGAAATCTTGTCTCAAATTTTCTAAAGACCCTACAATCACGGAAATGAATAATATTACTGTTTCATTAACACAACCCCCAACCCAACAAGATGCATATTTGTTTAATAACGGTATCATCATAAAGGAAAGCGATGAATTGGATTTAAAAAATATTCCTTTTTGTGATGATATTTTAGAATTTAATTATCCTTTAGAAAATTTTCAACCTCCTAAAGAACCATCTAAAACGGTCTATTGTCAAATTATTGCCAAGATGGCAAAAATTTCTTTTGAGTTAGAAAATATTAAACCTTTAGAACAAGTTCCAGAGTTTGTTAATATTTCTCTCGAAAGTAATGAACCATACAAAAATCTTTGTGAATTATTTAGTAATAATTATGGGCATTTAATTCCAAGAACTTTAACTTTAGGAGGAAAATTATCAATTGAATTTAGATCCTGTGATATTCCTGAAAACACTATTGTTCCCCAAATCCATAGTGATGATAAATTTGATGCAATAGAAATTAGACAAATTTTAGCAAGTTGGGATCATCAATACAAACACTTTAATACTAAAATCTTTGCTGGTGATGGAGAAATTGTCAATCGAGATAACATTGATAATTGGTGGAAAACACTCAAGTCTAATCCTAGTAAATGGAAGATACTTTCTTATGAGGATTGGACTCCAGTGTATAAATATTAAAACCAGCACAGAGTAAAGATGTAAAAGAACTTTTAAATGACAAATTCCATATAGTTTTTAAAGGAGAGGAATCACTACAGAGAAATGATCAAACTGTTGTAAATATTAAATTTCCTGGCGCTATTGACAATAACTATCAAATATATGGAAGTGCCGCTAAAAGAAATCAAGAAGGTAATTGGGAAAAAATTCAGGGTTTAAAAGTTAGATTTAGATATACTAATAAATATGGCTGTAATGCAATATTAATCAAAAGTAGCGAGACAAAGTATTTATTATATTTTATAACTATTTATTTTCCTATTTGTCACAATTTATAATTTCATTAACTTTTATTCTATTTTATTTTTCATAAAGGTTCGACTATACTGAAGTAAAGATTTTTTGGTTTGTGATTTCTAATCCAAGAGGAACTTATACTAATAAATACCGAAATATTCAAATTGCCTATGGAAAACAAAATATTTATAATTCTCAGACGGAAATATCATTAAAATGTAATGATCTCTGTGATGATTATATTTTAGTAACCTCTTTCACTTCTCAAACACAAAGGGACACATCATTTCACACAATTAAGCTTAGTAAATGGACAACATCATCGATTAACTTGGAGATCAAAAAAGAAATAAACGATGATATATTAGAACAATCAAGTTATAAACCTGAAGAAACAAATGATTTAGAAACTTCAGGTGAAGATTCGGATCATGATGCCATAAATCTGTCAGATCAACCCCAGCAAGAGACGATAAAGTTTCAATGGTGTATTGTTTACACAAGTGGAAATGAACTGGCAGATAATGAAATAGTGGATAGCAACGAAATATTCCCATGGAATGTATTTGGAATCATTCTTGATCCTTTATTAAAACAAGATCATGGGATAACATTTATAGAACCAAATTATCCATTAATGACATTTGAAGAAGCAACTAGACAACACCTTATAAAAAATGGCAACATAATAGATGCGTGGAGGATCTTTCTATATAGAGCAAAGAAAAATGATTATGCTGCAAAATATTGGGTAGGATTCTATCTACAAAACGATATCCTTAAGAATTCGGACTTTTACAACCGTGAAGAAGTTCTTGAAGGTCTTAGTATTCAACAAGCAGCTATGAAATTTTATAAAAGTGCCGCAGATAATGGTCATCATGAAGCACAATTAAAATACGGTTATGGGCTTTTCAGTGGAAAGGGTGTCCACGAAGACAAACAAATGGCGCTGGTATATTTTGAAAAATCGGCAAATAATGGTAACGTAGTCGCGATGTATAATTTAGGTGCCATTTATGTAAATAGTAGAGAGAAAGAGAAAGGAAAGAATTTACTAATTAAAGCGGCTAAACTTGGATATCCAAGCGCCATTGAATACTGTAAGGGAGGGTCGGGTATTCTGGCGCACCTAAGAGTGCTAATAGTAAAAATTTTCAGGGAAAGCTTAGTTATTCCTA